CAACAAAGAATCATCGGCCAAAAGTTGTTTGCACGAATGCGCCTGCGCATAAGTTGCATCTCCAAAGGCCATTTAGATTCTAGAATGTTGAGGAAGTCTGCTCCGGCGGAAGAATACCTGAGAGTTTCGTTCACTGTATGTGAGTCAACCTTTTCCACAATTCGCGGTTTTTTTCATCCGTTATGTAGCGTGGGACTTCAGGAAGTCAGCAGTATTCGACGTTCGACAGGATGTAGCGACGGCACACGTCAGTTCTGAAATATGCAGATATACGGGCTGGTATTAATGAATCCACACGGTATACACAGCACACATGCGCACAGGTTGGGTAGTACAGGGAAGAAGACCGGAGTGTAGCAACAACGCACGTGTATTAACCCGAACCGAAACCGGAAGAAGAGGGTGTACAAGGTTGGGTCAAGGTCAGTTAGGGGGTGTACAAGCGGGATACTCTTCCCTGTCCAGGGCCCGTGGTGCCTCGTCCGTGGTACCTGTAATAGGAGAAGAGAGGGAGGGAGAGGCGCACATAATGTCATATGATAGGCATACAAGCAGGTACAGTCGGGTTTCAAATGCGTTACAGTTAAGGTATTCAAAGTCGGCGGTGTTTATTCACCTGGAGATTTAGTTCACTTAAACAAGTCGCCATAGTAAAGGATTTTGAATAATACAGGAGCATGTACATTATACATAGACATTCTACACTATGAAGTGGCAAGTCTGAAGATGCCGTAGATTTCGAGAAATCAGTCTCATTGTGCGAATAGCCAGCGGCCATTTCTGTAAATAAATTTATTTCTGCCATATTTCTGCTTGAATATACAGATGCGGAAGTGTGTCGTTCCACACAAAGAATCGTTGTTCAGACCGTCGTTATCGTCTCATTGTGCGAATAGCCAGCGGCCATTTCTGTGCATAAATTTATTTCTGCCATATTTCTGCTTGAATATACAGATGCGGAAGTGTGTCGTTCCACACAAAGAATCGTTGTTCAGAGCAACCGTCGTTATCTAAATACTCTCTGATCTCCCTTAATTTCTTTAAGAATATATAGCTTTTACTCCTAGAGTTCTGGCTGACTGGTGAAGGGTCTCAACAATCAAAATAAAGCAGCGTCTGGTAACATTTTCTGGCGGCAAAATCGCAATTTATAGATAGTGTGAAAACGCAGGCTTCTTGCATGGCACGGAAATCTTCCACCTGACGTTAAAGACAGACATGCTCAAACTAGGGCGGCAACAATTAGAAAACATTTTTAGTGACTGAAAATCTCGAAGGGCAAGCAGAAACTGCTAAAAGATTCCCTGGTGAGATCACGACCCCTCAAGCTGACTGTGCTCTGCAATCTGTTTGCGTGCATGACTAGCATTCCACTCAGGTCACATGACGGCTAGCCAAATTGCGAGACTCCCTGTGCTTTGTTGATACTGGATAGCCGAGCGGAACTTAATCTTGTGAGCGAACAAAAAGTGGTCTATCCCGCGAAATTAAAAATGGTCGGTATTGTAGTGTTCCTGATGCACGTGTTATGCTAAACAGGAGGTTAGAGCCGATATCTATCTTCCACAGATTAATTGCGATGGAGTATACACTAAAAACACGTTAGTTGCATGTGTTTCTTCGACATTTAATATCTTATGGACTGGTGTGGTTGGTGCAATATACTGCTTTCTGGCGAAGATTTGTACGGCAAAATTGCTTTTCAGCGATTTCGAAGATAGCACTTATCCGCATTTGTGAGAAAGTCTTCCGCAAATATAGAGCCGAACTCCCAAGCACACTATTAACATTGTAAGTTGGCATTTTCGGCGGTGGACGCGCTCGTTCTGTGAGCAAAAGCAGCCCGGTATATTTCAACTACACTCCGCTGTAACTCAGGCGGCGCCCATTTATATTTCGGCAGAACCAAATTCCCTGATTAGTCGTCTGTTTCCGGATAGTTGGTCACCTGAAGGCCAAATCAATATGATATTACTTTAAAAAGATTCCTCTAGTCGGCTGGTTCTTGTGAGGATCCTTGTACTAGAGTTCCAGTGAACGGGCGCAGTTCTTTTGCTCTAACAACGCCTCCTGATTTCAAAAAGCATTGGCCGATAAGTGAAAAAGCGTCACGCCTAATAAACTGGAGTCGAAGCCCGTGTTTATATTGGACGTGCGTCACTGACCGCCGAGGCGTTTTACGACTCGCAGCAAAGCAAATTCGCTGCAACCACGGATCGTATCGACAAGCTCTGGGATAGTGCAAACTGCTTCCGATCCTGGAGGGCTCACTTCCAAGTCCAAGGTAATCTTTCCAATGATACCGCGCTGCGGTTCTCACCCTCCCGAAATAATTAGGATCAAGCGTCCCAACCAGCCCAAGGTTTTTAGCGCACCGAGAGTTCCTCTGAAAGCGTATGCCCGAGCAAACCTATCAGCGTCCTCGTCATATGCACTCTTGTCAAAGCGAAACTACGAATAGCCTCTAACCGATTTGGTCTTCACGATGGAGGACATTCGTCAACTCTCGCACAAGGTCAACACATTCTGCGCGTTGGGGCCCGACGAGGTCCATCCAAGGATCCTGAAGGAAACGTCCTCCACACTGGCAAACCATTTACACATGGTGTTTCGTCAGTCGCTTGATGAAGGCCGCCTTCCCTCTGCTTGCAAGAAAGCAACTGTCACGCCAATCCAGCGAGCAGCTACGAGAATGATTGCCAGCCTCATATCCGTGGACTACGAAACGCGTCACCTCATAATTGATCTCTTTCCCCTGGAGTACCGTCGCCTCCGAGGGGACCTAATTCTTACCTACGCCCTGTTCGAACAAAGCTTGGCAAACAGGTTTTTTACCGTTGACCCAGCAAACACCCGGCGGGGACATAGTAAGAAAATCTTCAAGCTCAGGGCACACACATTCATTAGACAGAACTTTTTTTCATTTCGGGTAGTAGCTGCATGGAATGACCTTCCTCCGACGGTTGTACACGCTCCTTCTCGAACCCAATTTAAAGCACTATTAGACATTTATTTATGCGAATCCTCGCGCTGGCGAGCATACTGCCCCGCGCTGAGAACATAACGAGCAGTGCTACACCCTTTTTTCACTTGTGCCTTTCAGGTGAACGACAGCCACTGACCGAGAAGAACAAAACCGACCCGGGAAACTTGGGCAAAAGCCTCGATCCTGTGTATCAATCCGTGAATCCGTGAATCCGTGAAAGCCGAACTAACGGCCGTGCAGCACCACACGGAACTTACTGTGATGAAAAGAAATCGTCCAAAATTCTCACTCAGCTGGCTTTGAATGATGCGGATTGATATCAGGGATCTGGTCACGTAACCGGTGTGCAGCGATCAACATACAGAGATACCTGCTAAAGCAAGGTGTCGATGACGTATATAAGTGCCTTTAGTGTCACAACCGTTTCCAATGACAAAAGACGTGTTTGGATGCTCAGCAGAATCAAGCCCAAATTGTTTTCGCCGAAGCAATGGGGTTTTCGAATTTGCAACACATCACCTTCTGGTGATATTTTGCCCATAGCATTTTGTTTATGTGGGCAAAATTTCAAGGTCACGAACCATCGCGGGTTTGCAATTTGTTACCGGCTTACGAGAGATAAATCGCGAAGTCACACTTCAGCATATTTTAGCGTTCTTCGGTGTTCTTCAAAGGTGAGGTAACATCTACAGCTGCAGTTCGACGGCCATCTTCGTGAAGGATCCCCTTCCTCAGAAATTCATCACTAGCCTGTGGAAAATGCAGCGTCACGAGATAACCACGCATAAGTCATCAACACATTACCACCATTCCTTTGGGGAAAAGGACGTTCCATATGTGGGATACATAATAAAGCGCAAACATAATGATGGCAACCAAGGGCAACCATTGCCGTTCACCAGGAGCATGTCAGCCGTTATCACGCACCTAAACTACCCAGCGTAAACGCTGGGCCCGTATCTCTTTGCGACGCTGATTATTAGGCTTCACCTGCAGACGGTAACCTAATCAAATCACCAACGACGCCTCTCGGGGTCATAACTGTATTAGCGGTCGCTCACCTCAACTACTCATCGTAACTGATGAGCCCGTGTCCATCTGCGACACTGATAATGAGGCTCAATTATGCACCATGCATGTGTTAGCGTCGTTGCCCACCGTGGCTGCTTAAAGTAATTACTGGGTCCTTGCCTATGCAGGCAGCGGACCATGAGGCCCAACTATAAATTGTAGCCGAACTCAACGAGAACTGGAGGTCTCCCATATCCTTACATGTCGTCCCTCTGCTAAGCCAATGCCTAAAAAGTACACAACCACCCTATACTTCTACTTGTTGGTTGCGTCTGTACTAACGTAACGTGCAGTCAACTCAGCTCTCGTTTTCAGGGAACCAATGTCACTCGACAGGGTTTCCCAATAGAAAAATGTATAAGCAAATATAACTCGTATACATCTTGCTCAATCTCACTAGAAACACAATAATTTTTTGTGGTTAGCTCACCTAATGCTTAAAAAATTCCGCTGTCCACAATTCCAGATCGGTATCCACGCCGAAGCTAGAATCTTACACTTGTGAACATAAACTTTTTACATGCTCAGTCAGTCCCATTGTTGGTACCGATGAAGCTGGTAGCTATTTCAGGCTGTTCCATGTCCGCTATATAGGTTAGGGCCTGATCCAATCTTTCCACTGGACACTCATTCAGGACATCTGGATAGAAACTGAAAAGAACGCCACTGGCATCGACTGTCAGCCATGTCTTGTAGCGTCTTCTACCAGGAATCTCCAAGCAGGAATCTCACGGTCCTCGCCCTTGAAGGTGCGTAGCATCGATAGCGCCAAAACGTTTCTTAATCTCTCATATAGCCATCTCGCAAGTTAGGCGTTAAACTCCTTTCTCCTTTCGCCACCCTGAATTGAGCACAAAAAAACAGCACCTTTCTAAAAACGACGGTTCGGCATTCGCAGTACATGACTTAACCAACGCAACTTCTGATGCTGGACACATTTCTCAATATTATCCACGCATCCCCTGGAGTACCGTCGCCTCCGAGGGGACCTAATTCTTACCTACGCCCTGTTCGAACAAAGCTTGGCAAACAGGCTTTTTACCGTTGACCCAGCAAACACCCGGCGAGGACATAGTAAGAAAATTTTCAAGCTCAGGGCACACACATTCATTAGACAAAATTTTTTCTCATTTCGGGTAGTAGCTGCGTGGAATGACCTTCCTCCGACGGTTGTACACGCTCCTTCTCGAACCCAGTTTAAAGCACTATTAGATATTTATTTATGCGAATCTTCGCGCTGGCGAGCATACTGCCCCGCGCTGAGAACATAAAGAGCAGTGCTACACCATTTTTTCATTTGTGCCTTTCAGGTGAACGACAGCCACTGACGGACGGGAGCAAAACCAACCCGGGAAACTTGGGCAAATGTCTCGATCCTGCGTATCAATCCGTGAATCCGTGATTCACAAACGAATACCCGCTTTCTAATTGCCTTGTTACATATTAGCCGCAACCAAACTACATAGGCTATAGCTCCGAGACAACGGCTTCGAGTGCCTCAAAACATCTCAGTTCCACTGGTCAGACAGATCAATCCCCACAGCCATAAAACAAAACAGACGGCAACGGAGATTGATAAACACAATTTTGTGTGGCCTTTCCTGAGAAGTGTGGCGTGTTCAGTGACTGTCTGACATGCACTTTGTGAATTAAATATCCACACCATAGGACGTGATACCCTTGTTCAGTTCAAAAACACATGCACATTTTCCACTTTGATCAGGACTACGGTTCGTCTGCGCATTCCAGATCGGCAAGATTTTCGTCCGAAACTATTTGAATGCTTGCGTTCTGAAGATCTTTCGGTGTTGCTTTCATTACCCCAACGGTCACAAAATTGAATAAGAATGGTGGTACGGGCACAGCTAACAGAAACCGTTCTGTGCATGGTAGCATTTATTGGGCTCTTCTTATACGAGTCCGTAGAACTTATTGTATCTGCATCTGGAAGATCTTTCCGTACCACGTCAGCTTCTTTTGCACCTACTGGCCCCCGCGATGCAAACGACCTGACGGTTGACACCTCTCACTACATCCGCGTAGCCTTTCCCCAAATATACACCTACCCTAAGCTGAGCCTCGTACGCCGCCTTCTGCTTGCCTGTGCCGCTGGCCTGAGGTTTCCCTGTCTGTTCAATGCGCTCTTAAAAACTTTTCAATCGAATCCTCGCACTGGCGAGCTTACTGCCCCACGCTGAGAGCCTAAAGAGGATTGATACACTCTTTTTCGCCTTTGCCTTTTGGGTGAATGGCAGCCGCTGAACGATAAGGACAAACCCGACCCAGGGAACTTGGCAGAAGCCTCGATCCTGCTTATCAATTCTTGAATCCGTGAAAACAATGGCGTTAAACAACGTGTATTGAGCGCCCGAAAACAAGTCAAAAACATGAATTCGGTGCGGCGTGTTTGGTGCGTGTTCCGAAGAAAAAAACTTAGGACATAATATTCCCACCCATCATACCGTGATCATTTGGATGTAATAAACAATTTTGCCCACGTTTTTGACCAATTAGCGCTTGGCTTGGGGTTGAGAAGGCCATGGACGAGACTTCTGACCAATTATTTGCGAGTTGGGCACATTGGCGCTTGCAGCGCCGGCGGGTTTGCGGCGTCCAGCCTTCGCAAAGTGGGGCGCTTAGTATTCGCACAATGGAATTGAATTTTTGAAAGCTATGAGGTGTTCCTGATGGACTGAAACAATCGGGTAATTGAGTTCAGAGTACCAGTCCGAAATTTTGAGCCCCATTCAGGCATCCCGTCGTCTCAGCGATGCAGGGAAATTATCCCGAAAGAGATATTACCACAATGGAATTTTGTGAGCTGCGAAAATATGAACATAGGTTAGGATGGTTTTGAGTTTAAGCACGCACAAAGAAATGCAACAGTCTGATGCAAAAAGTTTTACTCCCCACGTATTGTGTGGCTAATGGGCCCCCAAAGTTCTATCCCAATTGCCCAGGTATTGTATACAAATGAGAAAAATGCACGTTTATCTGTATGGAGATAAAGACCACTATCATCAGATCTAGGACGCAAGTTAAACGATGGATTTTTTCCTGAGTATAACCAGTAAAGGTGATGTCATCTTTGTTATCGGCAACCGTGAATCCATTAACTGTTGAAACATGGCTGCTGCTGAGTTTACACCAAACACCAGGCAGGTAGATTGGAATAAATTGCGCTCACTCAGAAAATACATCCAGCAGCGGAAGCTGAGGCGAATGAGCTGCGTGTTAATAATGATAATCGTTCAGCTGAAACCTTTCAATGTATAGTAACCACGCTACCGGAAGGAAGCACGAGGACTAGGATGCTGTCAGGTTGCCAAAGCCCACGCGGGAGCAATCGGAAAGACATTTGGGTTCGAACTGGTGAGTAGTTTAACCCGATAACCACTGAGCTATCTCGAG